TGGACGTCGGACGCCAGGGACAGGGCCCAGCGGCCGGCGCTGCAGCAGACGGTTCTGACAGAGGCTCGGGCTGGACTAGCTCTGACCGGACGAGGCTGGAGGTGGAGACGATGCTGAGGGAAGCACAGCAACCTCCTCAGTAAAACCGCAGAAGCCGCCTCAGGCAGCACTGGGCTCCTGTCAGCACAGGACGCCAGGGGCAGAGCAGCACTGAGAACATCACCCACCTGGCCGTGCCCACCTGGCCGTGCCCACCTGGTCATGCCCAGCTGGACAGGCAGCTGGGGCCGCTGGGAACTGGGGAAACTGCCAGGAGAAGCTGGGTGCCCGGAGGCGGGGAGGCCCCGCTGTCTCGCTCCATCGCCTGCCCCTGAGCCCAGACGCCACAGAAAATAAAACGCAGCTGAAACAGCTGTCTGGGAACCGGACACGAGCAGCCAGTCACCTGAGCGGCCCACGTGGCCGAGGCAGACACGGTCGTGCGGCCCCGACCCGCCCCAGCTCCTGCGCCGTCGCCACAGCCGGGGTGAAGGTCACCCCGCGGGCAGCAGGCTCCGCGAGTGCTTTCTAGGTGGTGACAAAGCTCATGGCCCGTCTCCTCCCGCCTCCCAGGCTCCCGCCACCAGGAGTGGGGGCGACTGTGCAGGTGTGTGGGCACCTGGTCCGGGAAGTCCCCTTCCCCGCGCCCCCCGGAGGCGCCCCCTGAGGCAGCCCCAGCCATGCCACCTGCTCCTCCCAGGTCCCCCCTCAATGGCCTTCAGCCCAGAGCACCTGGCGGCAGATTTGTTTGGGTTTTGCTCGAGGTGCCTCCCCTGGCAAAGGCGTTACCCCCAAAGCTCCTGTCTGTGCACCTGGGCACGTGGAACAGCCACGGGGGTTCTTTCTCCATCCCTCGGGGTGGCAGGTGGCCGGGCAGGCTCCCTCCGATGGAACCCCAAATCCATCGTGGCTCAGGGTCCCGGCCTGCCCTATGCCGTCGACCCCACGTGCATGGGGCCCCGAGGGTCTGTGGGTGAGACAGGCCAGAGGGCACCGAGGTGCTGCAGAAAAACACCCAGCCAGCTCTGGGCCGCGGCCACGCGGTGACCCCCTGAGGGCAGGCGCACCTGCACACCCCCGTTCGCAGCTACGCGTTCCCGGCAGCCGACAGGCGGGAGCAGCCAGTGGGCACCGGTGGGTGAACGGACAAGCACTGGGCCATCCAGACCACGGAGTATCGCTCGGCCTCACACAGGCAGGAAACTGACATACGCTGCCTGGGCAGGAGCCGGAGGGCATGTGCTCGGGGACGTCCACCCGTCAGGGACACACACTGGGTCCATACAAGGCCCCTGGAGTCCTCAGATTCACAGACAGGAAGCAGGAGGGTGGGGCCAGGGCTGGGGAGGGGGAGTGAGTGTTTAATGGGGACAGTCTCAGGTTGGGAAGATGGAAAGTTCCGGAGATGCTGGTGGTGGCGGTTGCACAGCAGTGTGCATGTGCTCACTGCCCCTGAACTGTGCACCTCAAAATCATCAACGCGGCCCGGCCGGCGTGGCTCAGTGGTTGAGCGTCAACCTAGGAACCAGGAGGTCACGGTTCAATTCCCACTCAGGGCACAGGCCCAGATTGCGGGCTCGATCCCCAGTGGGGGGCGTGCAGGAGGCAGCTGATCCATGATTCTCTCTCATCATTGGTATTTCTCTCTCTCTCCTTCCTTTCTGAAACCAATAAAGTATATTTTTTAAAAATCCTCAACACAGTAGGTTTATGTTCTATGTTGTGAGCATTTTACTGATGAGAAAACGGAACAGCCCCAGGCCAACACTGAGCAACATCGTGACCCACAGAGCAGACGGCCATGTCCCGGGCGCCCTGTCCCAGCTGCTGCGTGAGGCCTCGCTCCCACCATGGGGGCCAGAGGCTCTCCTCCCAGACCCTCGGGTGAAACCAGAGGGAATCCGGGGGAAGGGGGGGGAGGGGGGGGGGGCTGAGCCCCACGCAAAGGCCGAGGGAGGAACTGGCATTTCCTCAGCCCACGGGCCGGGGCCGAGTGCCCTTTTAGCTGGAGATGCCACGTTCCAGGAATAAAACAAGTCGGAAGATGCTTTTATACTTAGAAAGCGGATTATAGCTCTTGGCAACACACAGGCCACGGCAGGCACTTCCACCGTCTCCGGAAAACCACGGTTCAAGCTAAACCTGGTGTTTGTGGCGTTTGGTCACCTGGCCGACCCCTCGGGCACCACTGGTCAGAGGGCAGCGCCCACCCACAGCAGGGGGTGCTCAGGGTGCCCCACCCGCTAACAGGCCAGGCTGGGTCCTCAGGGGGCTTCGGGCAGCAGGGGCACCGGTGCAGATTCGGGGTCCCCCTCTGCTCCACAGACAGGTGTGGGGTCCCCCGAGGATGGTGGGGGGGACAGGGCCAGACAGGCCACGCCCACCGAGCCCCACCGGCCCCGCGCCAGGACTGGTCTCATTCGGCCTGTCCTCCGGGAGGACTTACGGGGACACAGAGGCTCAGGTGCCAGCAGCAGGTGACAGGCCTGAGCCTCGGGCCCAAGCGAGGGGTATCTGGCCTGCTGTCTGCCCACAGGGCCGGGGGACAGCTCTAGAGACCCCAACGTTGGGCCCCCAGGCTCCTTGAAAGAAACAGCCCGGCCGGCGTGGCTCAGGGGTTGAGCGTCAACCTATGAACCCGGAGGTCATGGTTCGATTCCCGCTCAGGGCACAGGCCCGGGTTGCAGGCTCGATCTCCAGCGGGGGGCGTGCAGGCGGCAGCCGACCAATGGTTCTCTCATTGATGTTTCTATCTCTCCCTCTCCCTTCCTCTCTGAAATCAACAAAAATGTCTTTTTTTTAAAAAAAAGAAAGAAAGAAAGAAATGGCAAAGCACTCTGGGCAAAAGGGTTTCCCCCCACACCCGCTGGCTTAGCAGACCTCAGGTTTCCACGCTCAGCACGGCCCCAGCTTCCCGCACACGATCGGCACTGGGAAGAGGCCTTTGGAATTTAACGGGAAGATTCCCGTGACTCCACGAACGCAGGAAAGGGAGGCACGTTTCAGGGCGAGGGGCAGTGGGAAGCGGGGTCCGGACCACATGGGTGCTTGCGGGGGGCGGCCGAGAGGGGAGCCGGGCCAGCTGGGCAGGGCCTTGGAGGAGGCACAGGGGTTTGCAGGGCAGAGCCGGCGTCAGAGGAGACAGAGGGGTGCAGACCCAGAGGCAAGACCTTCACTCGTGAATTCCCTGCCTACTGGCCACCTCCCCACCCCCACATCGCCACCCCCAGTGCACACTGGGGGCTGTGCCCGGGCCCAGCACACAGCCAGTGCCCCCTAAACACAGGAGCAAGAATAAACAAGGGAAGCGGAGATCTGGGGATGGTGAGGGCGGAGGGGGAGCTGGATCTGAACCAGGAAGGAGCCCAAACACCCCCAGAGCCCCCTCGCGCCCAGTGGCTCTGAAGCAGGGCCGTCCGGCGTCCACGCTGAGGACTCTGCCCAGCTGGGCCCAGGCCGCACCCGCGTCTGTCTTCTCTGTTTCCTGGGCTGGAGTTTTTTTTAACCCAAGTGAAGCCAGCGGGAGCGGACTCTGTGGGCTGGCAGCCCGAGCCTCCCGCCTCCGCACTTCCTCCGTGGCCCTCGGCTCCTGCCTCAGTGTCCCTCTTTGGTGGGAGAGAGAAGCCCGTCCCCCGCCAGCGCCCCCCGCCTGGCCCAGGGCCTGCGCTCGGCAGGCACGACACCCCGACTCCCGTCGGCGGGCTGCGGCCCTCGGACGACGCGCGTGACCTCACCGAGCTCTCCATGGTGACTCATTTCCTCTGCCACCACCTCCGGAAGCCGGGGCCGCCTGCCCGGTTCCCAGAACGCGGCCACAGCGGACACAGACGGGCTGCTGGGGAGATAATAAGTCCCTGTCCCCCAGAATAGCTCGGCTGGACCGGAGGCCGAGCCCTGAAGCACCCTGGCTGGGCAGCCCAGCCGGGCGGCATCCCTGGGCAGCAGGGGGCCCACCTCGAGGGGCTACTGTTTACAAAGGAGGGGGTGGGCGTGGAGGCCACTAGATGCCCTGTCCCCAGTGCTGGTGTCCGAGGTCCAGGGGTGACTCAGGGGCCAGCCTGGAATGCGGTGGCTGCAGGGTCTGGCAGACACACCCTGAATGTGCACCAGGGCCCGGACCCCAAACTGCCGGGGCAGCTAGCACACGTGGTCGCGCCGAAGTGCAGACCAGAAGCAGTCCCACGCAGGACGGCTGGGGGCCACAGGGGCCACACCCGAGGGGCACTGGCCATGCCGACACCCAGGTAGTGTGTGGGGGGACGAAAGGAGATCAGGAGCTGACAGGCCACCGAGGGTGGGGCTCCCGGCACAGGGGATGCAGGAACGAGAGGCCGCGGCATCCAGGCCACGCTGGGCGCATTGTGGGTGTAGCCGGTGGGGGACGCCCAGAGCCATGCAGCAGGGGCCAGCCCGACCGTGACTGAAGGGCAGCAGTTCCATAAAAGTGTGGGTCCCCCAACCCCCGAGACGGGTGGGAGTAAATAAACAGTAAAAAAACAGGAGAAACCCCATTCTGGGAGACAGACGGTGTCTTAACACCCAACACGCCCAACCTCTCGGCCACCGACAGACCCGCAGACGCGGACGCTGCCCACGGGAGCTCCGCCAGCAAGCGCCTATGTCAGACTGCGCTCCCGTACGTCCCTACCAGCTGTTAATGCCACGGGTTACTCTCAGGATGAACATTTACCACCAGGAAGAAGGCGTTTCCAGGCCTCAGCTGGCCAGTGACCTGGTGTCCCACCAAAGCTGGACGTGGACCGAGGCGCTATTTCCCCAAACCGGCCAGGAGGTACTTACGTCCACTTCCCCTTGGTCAACGACGTAGAAGTTATCGCCTTCGTCCCCTGAAACAACAGAGAGATACAACGTGTTTCACGCAAAGGACACAGTTGCGGCCTGTTTGTCTTGTGGCCTCTCTGTGCGCTGCCGCCTACACCAGCCAAGGAGTCCTGGGTCTCGTCTATTCTTTAAAAGTATTTAAATGGCCCTGGCCGGTGTGGCTCAGTGGATAGAGCGTCGGTCCCGGGTTCGATTCCAGTCAAGGGCACGTACCTTGGTTGCAGGCTCCTCCCCGGCCCGGGCCCCGGTCGGGGCTCATGCAGGAGGCAACCCAGATGTTTCTCTCTGTCTTTCCCTCTCTCCTCCACTCTCTCTAAAAATCCACGGATTAACAAGAAAGTATGTAAATGAAAGGTCTGCATCTCAGGTGTAAACACAGTGCTTTGCAGTGCACATTCCCCGTGAACTCACTTCAGTCGGCCGGCGAGCATGGCGCCTCCCCACGGCCCCCAGTGCCCGTGTGGGGACCTCGCCCGCCCCCGATCCGCGTGCTCCCCGGGCTCAGGTCGTGGACTTGACAGCAAGATCACTGACACGTGTCGGGTTCGCTTGTTCAGGAAACTGCTGTTTCACTGGTGACTTTTCCCGAAGACACACAAGATTTTACATGAATGACTCAGTGAGCCCGGCCGCGTGGCTCACCGTTCCCGGTCCGGGCACAGGCCCGGGTTGCGGGCTCGATGCCCAGTGTGGGGCGTGCAGGAGGCAGCCGACCCGGGATTCTCTCTCATCCTTGATGTCTCCATCTCTCTCTCCCTCTGAAGTCAATAAACACATATTTAAAAAACAAACAAATAATAAATAACTTTAAGGGAACAGCCCGATGCCCCGTCGGCTCGCTCAGAGGAGGGGGCCTACCTTGCTGTATGACGGTCTCCCCGGCGATGTGCGTGACGGGGAACATGGCGTCGAATATGTCGCTGGAAAGAAGACACAGTGAATGTGAGACCCGCGGGGGCCCCGGCCGGCGCCCCTCACCTCACAGGGGCTCAGTCTTATTGCAAGAAGATCGTCCCGTCAGGTAAAGGAGGAATTCAACCCTTCGTGCCCTGCCCGGAGGCTCAGCTGGTTACAGCGCCGTCTCGATACTGTAAGGTTGCGGGTTCGATCCCCAGTCAGGGCACATACACAAATCAACCAATGAATGCACAAGGGGGACAAGGGGAAACAAATCAATGTTTCTCTCTCTCTCTCTCTCCCTTCCTCTCTCTAAAATTCAATAAATCAAGTAAAATAATAAATAAATAGAATCTGCCCTGGCTCAGTGGATAGAGCGTCAGCCTGCGGACTGAAGGGTCCCGGGTTCGATTCCGGTCAAGGGCACACACCTCGGGTGCAGGTTCCCTGGCCCTGGTCAGGGTGCGTGCAGGAGGCAACCAATGATGCGTCTTTCTGTCTCCCCTTCTCCCTTCCACTGTCTCTAAAATTCAATGGAAAAATGTCCTCAGGTGAGGATGAACCTAAAAAATAAATCATAAAGTCCTTCGTGACCCCGCTGTCCAGGCAGCGGCCCGGCCCTCCTGGTCCACCTCTGGCCCGGGCGGGTTTGCCGTTCGGGTTTTCACATAAATGGGGTCACCCTGCAAACGCCGCTTTGGACTCCAACTTAGCAAGAGGAGCAACGGGCTGCCCACCCTCCCGCCGGTGGGATTCCGCGAGAACCCGGCCCTTCCCCGTCGCAGGCGCCCTGAGCAGCTGGATAGGAAACGGGATCCGAGGCCGAGCCTCCACGTTAGACACCAGACCCCGACCTGCTGCTCGGTGAGCCACACCCAGCGAGGCCACGCCCAGGGCTGTGCCACGGCAGCTGCCACGTAATTTCCTAAATCTCGTTGTGGAGTGGACGGAGGCAGAGATCCCCCCCAGCCGGCCTACGGGAGGTGGGCAGGGCGCGGCATGCTTGGCGAACCCTTCACCTCCAGGACCCCAGCCAGAACATAGTCAGAGGTCAGCGTCCGCACCCCAAATGCAATGACCGCCCTCGAGGCTGCGCATGCACGCCGGCTAATTAAGGGGGCGCCTGAGAAGCTGTGTGATGTCAGGCTGAGCTGCAGGAAGCAAACCAAACGCAGAACCAACAGCCTGCACCTCCTGCTTCCAGGCCCCAGAAAACGTAGGTAAGTCCACAGAATAGCAGCTCTCTTCTCTCTACTTCCGACAGTCTCTCTGCCCAAGGAGGTGGCAGGGGCTCTGGGGAGGTTTGTGGGGGCCCCTCCCAGGCCCCCTCACTGGCCGCCCAGCCCGGCCTCCTTCCCCTGCCGGGCCAGGATTCTCAGCCTGCAGACAGTCTGTTCACATTTTACAACTGAATTTCTTCAGAACCACCACATCGGGGCTCTTAACACAAGCAGGTCTTTAAGAAATGCTTTTGCAATTCCAGCTTCATATGTGGGAAAAAAGAAAAAGAAAAAAAAAAACTTGAACTCATTATGGTAACATTTCCCAGGAGCCGGGCCCTGTGCACCGCCACCCGTCCGGGCTGAGGCCCGCACACGGCGCTGTCTCTGCTTCGGGCCACAGCCTGAGCACGCGCCCACTTCTCTTCCCAGGCATGACTCGGGAGCAGGCTGGCGAACGTGCACTTTTCCCTTCAAAATGAGCCTGCCCAGTCCGGCCGGCGCGGCTCAGTGGCTGAGCTTCGACCTAGGAACCAGGAGGTCACGGTTCGATTCCTGGGCAGGCCACATGCCCGGGTCGTGGGCTCGATCTCCAGTGTGGGGTGTGCAGGAGGCAGCTGATCGATCCATGATTCTCTCTCATCATTGATGTTTCTCTCTCTCTCCCTCTCCCTTCCTCTCTGAAATCAATAAAAAAATTAAAAGAAAAAATCACGCACAAAAACGGGTGTGCCCTTGGACCTGCAGGGTTTACACTTTCATTCTTAGCATTTTCACCAAAGAAACAGTTTAAACGTGCAGGTGGGGCAAACACGGGTTTACGGTTGTGAGTACACCAAACAGAGTCTATTCCTGTGTCACCGCTTATTACTTGTTGTGTTGTTTTCCGTGCCCTTGCCCGCCCTGTGGATAAGGCGTAGTCATGGAAACGTGAGTGTCTGCAGGGTAAGAACACACTTATAAATAACGCATAGAAGCCCCAAGAACAGTTTAAACGTGTGGGTGGGGCAAACACGGGTTTACGGTTGTGAGTACACAAAACAGAGTCTATTCCTGTGTCACCACTTATTACTTGTGTTGTTTTCCGTGCCCTTGCCCGCCCTGTGGATAAGGCGTAGTCATGGAAACGTGAGTATCTGCAGGGTAAGAACACACTTATAAATAACGCATAGAAGCCCCAAGGACGCTGAGAAGATGAACCCAATGAAAAGGAAAACACAACCCATCAGAACTCGCAGGATGCAGCAAAAGCCGGACTCAGAGGGAAATTCATAGCCTTGAGTGCCTACAGTAGAAAAGGAAGAAGCTCTAAAACCAAACACCTGAACTCCCACCTTAGGAAACTAAAAAGATGAGCAAATTAAAACCAAAGTAAGCGGAAGAAAATAAACAATAAACGTTACAACTAGAAATCAGTGGAATTTAAAATAGGACATTAACAGGGAAAGTCCATGAAACCAAAGCTAGCTCTTTAAAAAGATTTTTAAAAATCCTAGAAACATCTAGCCA